GGGCGCGGGAGCAGCACCAAGGCTTGCGATCCCGTTGCCGGTCCCCGGTCCGGTACGGGGGCAACACTGTCCATTGCCGGACACGGAAAAAAGACAAAAGACAAAAAAAAAAAAAAAAAAAAAAAAAAAAAAAAAAAGAAAAAGAAATAGAGAAAAGCAAACAAGCAGAGCCAGAATGAGGGGCTAGCCCTGGGTAAATCCATATTTCTTCAATCCCAAAAATATATTTGATGGTCAAACTTGTCCCAAATCTGGGACTATCCTGAAGCTTTTTGGACTTCAAGTAGAAAAAGGGGAATGCTTAAACTCAGACATAAGGTTTCTACACCTTAGCACAGGTTCAAACTACCCACTTTCTTCAAAGGGACTTCGGCTGGCAGCTAGTGAGTATGTGTTAATTCCCAACCAATGAAATGGTACAGTGAATGACATGATCTCTGAGGTAATCTATACCAGCTGGCAAAACACATATGCGCGGGCCTTCTTAAACATTATCTTGAGAGTCCATTCACTTCGGAATAATTCTGAAAAGCTTGTTTACTTTATTGACCAGATCCCTCCCGCTCCCAATCTATTGGCTTTCTTGTCCACATGGGACAGCACAGAAAAAAACCAGTGAATCTCTAGAACTAACAATCTCACCAAAATAACCAAAGGAAGATTTGGTTTTTATTGATTGGCATATTTGAACAACTACTGTTTCTAAAGTTTAGCAGTAGCTCCAAGGGAGTAACGTAATACAGATCTGGTAGAGCCAGTGTTTGATGGTCTCATATAGCTCCAGTTTCAGGCTGAATGGAAGCACTGTGCTTTAATCTGGAGTCTGTCATCACCCAGACACCTATCATCTGTTACCATAAACTTGAAAAGCAGTGACCTAGAGACTAAATGCTATTTGAAGAAATCTACCAAAATATGGCAGGGAGTGGAAAAAAACTAACACATTTCACCATGTAGAGTTCAACATCAGGACCTTATAAACTTTTTGTGGATCAGGAACCCCTTTGCATATCTGAAGAAAGTGATGGACCATCTCTCGAACCAAATGCACACACATGCCCACACCCACACAATTCTGCATATTATTCAGGGACACAGAAACCTCTCAAATCCCACCAGAGATTCCAGGCTATAAACAACTATTCCAGATGGAGCATTTAAGACAGCTAACAGTTTCTTTTTACACGATTAACACAGCTGGTAGGGAAGAACCAGGACTTGGTGGCCTAGCTACTTAATGTTTATCAAGTTCAGCATAAGGGAAAAAGCACCAAGTTTCAATTCCTGTGCCTTCACTTATTAGCTATGTAACTCTGACGACGTCATTTAAAATCTGAGCTTCAGGGCCGAGCCCATGGCGCACTCGGGAGGGTGCGGCGCTGGGAGCGCGGTAGCGCTCCCACCGCGGGTTCAGATCCTATATAGGGATGACCGGTGCACTCACAGCGCTCACTGGCTGAGCGCGGTGCGGCCGGTCTCAAAAAGGACACACACACACACACACAAAAATCTGAGCTTCATTTGTTAATGATAAATAATTGTACAGAGAAATCTCTTCCCCCACAACCAAGTAGCAAAAGTCAGTCAGAAATCACAGGCTTATGTAATCCTCAAGTCCTTCCCAAGGATAAAAATTATTGTACAATTATCATAGATAACAACAGAAGCTAACACTTATTGAAGGCTTGCTACGTGCTGAAGGTTTTACGTGCTTTATTCTCCTGTCAACTCTATCTTATGGAAGAGGGAACCAAATTAGAGAAGTTAAACAGCTTCTCCAAGATTACACAGCAGGCAAGAGGCACAGTCCGGATCTGTATCCTCGTACTCTGAACCCAAAGAGAATCCAAAACCCTGAAACACTATGCTGTGCTACCTACTGATGCCTGTGTTAGGAGATGCTAAACCACCAGGAGATGTCTTACTTGGGAACTGCACTGGAGGTCGAGGATCTGCACTCTCCTTCTGTCGTAAAATCACAACATCCCCATCTTTCAAGCCGTAAGAAGCCAGTGATCTGTGGTTGTCTGTGAGAGGTCTTTCAGCATAGACAATCTACAACAAGAAAAGATTTAATAGTATAAAACACTGAGAAATAACATGGCACAAAGAAGAAAGACCACAGTTTTCCTCTTAACCAGATAATGTCACTCCCTGTTCAAAACTCTCCAAAGCATTCCCATCGCACCTGGAATAAAACCCAACGTCCTTCCCATCACCTACTAGGCCCAAACAATTTGGCCCCTGGCTCCCTCTTTGACTTTACCTCATACCATGATTGTTGTTCCTCAAATAACGGGGATCAAATAAACTTTCCCTTCAGGGCTGTTTCACTTACTCTCTAACTGAGGAATGTCCTCTTCTAGTCCCCCCCCACCCCCCCCGGTCTCTTATTAAACATGACAACTTCAGAGCCCTTTCCTATTACCCTATTTAAAAACCCTATTTAAAATGTGCCCTCACCTAACATACTATATATTTATCTATTTATCTGTTTATGGTCTTTCTGCCCCAGTAAAAAACTATAAGCTACTCAATGATAAGGACTTTGTTTCATTCACCATATCATAAATGCTTGGAATAGAGACTGTTATGTAACCGATGCTCAAATGTTTGCTGAATTAAAGGATAAATGAATTTTTGAAAGTACTGGATATAATTTTAGATTAAATTTTGAGCAGGGAGGGAAATGGGAATGATTTACTCTGGGTATGTTAACTACAGTACTATTAAATAATGTGTACACTTTTCAGATCTAAAATGTTCCCAAATACCATCCTTCCTGCATTCTTCCTTCTCTTCCACCATCCCCTGTCTTATCACTGTTATATTTATGAGTGGAAATAAAAGTGAAAGAAATTCAGAAAAGAACAAAGAGAAGTGGGGGAGAAAGGGCTCAGGTGTATACTACTAATAAAAATATTTTTTATGACATGTAATCAAGCACTGAAGAAAACAGCACAAAAATAGATGAAATAATGTCATGAAGAAAACACACAAAGGCATACTATAATTTACCAGAAAGAACATAAAATCTGCCCTGTCTTATTATATATACTCTAGAAGGGCTTTCAGAACAAACTCAGGCTTTGAAAGGTTTTCTTCACAACAGTTAGTTTTTCTTTTTTTTTTTTAAAGATGACTGGTAAGGGGATCTTAACCCTTGACTTGGTGTTGTCAGCACCACGCTCAGCCAGTGAGCTAACCGGCCATCCCTATATGGGATCCGAACCCGTGGCCTTGGTGTTATCAGCACCGCACTCTACTGAGTGAGCCACAGGCCAGCCCTAACAATTCGTTTTTCACCAGGCCACATTCAAACTGAAGAACTTGAGTTCTGTCCTGGCTCTGCCAATAACTTACTGAGAGGGGCATGTCATCAGCTGGTCCAGGTCTCGCTTCCCATGTGTCGAACAAGCAGTTGGAGCTAATCATTACAGTTGTCTCTTACAGTTCTTTCTGCTACACTATCATTCTATCATTTCCTCACATGTCCTCAGCTCTCATACCTGGCACAGAAACTGGAAAAAAGTGATTCTGTCATATCTGCTCTCAGAATTTGCACTGACATGAAGAACAGAATAGGAAACTGAATTTACTTCCCTCCAAAATCAAATCCATCTCAGGATAAGCAAAAAATTGATTTACAGAACTTGTAAGTCCAATTATACTTTACAAGTTTTATATATGACTAGAAAAAGTATTCTAAGTTCTCATCCTCAACCTGCAGTTAAAATACATTTCAACAGACTGCAACTGTCACTCTGTCATTCCATTCACATGCCCTTATTTAAGCACATACCTCAGTGAAAGCACATCAGAATCAAAACACATTTTTTGCAAAACAACTGAGAGTCATATTATAACTAAAACAACCATAAACCAGAAGTGACAAGGGTCACAGGTTGAGGTGTCCAACAACAAAGTGCCATGCCAAGAGAAATGCCAGATAGGCAGGCTCTTACAAGGTGGCATCAATTTTCCAGGTTCAGAAATTCAACTCTCAGTATATTTAGAGATACATGATCAATCTCCTAGAGCCGTGACATATTCTATTTGTACTTATAAAAGAAAATTTATTTATTTACAATGAGGAATCAAACTCGGGAGGATTGGTATGATCCTATCCACAAGATCATCGAATTCTCTCCAAGTGGAAATACTACATGGAAAGCCAAATTAAAATAGCAGCCAGCTACCACTGACTGAGCTTCTACTAAGAGTCAGCACCCTGCTAGGTTCTCACAGTCTCCCGCTTAATCCTCATATCCCTTAATTTAAGTCTCGCAATCATTTTCTGGGTAGACATTATTTTATGGACAGGGAAACAGATATATATATATATATATATACAGTTCAGTGACCTGAGGCCGCACAGCTATTAAGAAGAGAACTGGGACCGGAACCACATCTGCCTGACTTTAGTTTCCGTATTCTTCTCTAGTACTATATACTTCCCCAACATAATCCCAAAGTGGTCTTATAAATTAGCTGGTTGGCTTTAAAGAGAGCTACTAAGCCATCCATCGCCACTAAGGGTCTATGTCCAAAATACTGTCTGTCCATGATTGTTCATGTTTCCCCTTGCCCTGAACATGAAGGAACACTACCAACTCCTCACTCTTTGGACTCCCACTTCACAGATGCCATACATCTCAATCCATCACTGTTTAGTTGCCATGATATTTCATCAGCAGACAATACCATTTTTTAAAGAAAGGCATCATGATCTAACAATAAATATGTAAGATCCAGATAATCACTAGCATCAAGCACGTATGTGAAATATCGACGATTACTGTCTGTCCCAATTTCTTAGAAATACTACACTGGAGAACTTAGGTGAGGAGCAAACATTCTTCACACTGACAAAGAAGCAGGTGTACTCTATTTTAGTCTAAGGACACAATGAGATCAACTAAAGCTTAGCAAAAATTATAATTGCCACAAAGTACTGATTTCTTCTTGTTAAAATAATCTTAAGAGTCTTTCTTTTGCAGCTTAAGTTCCTAAATAAATCTGTGTGATCTTCCAACTGAACATGAGTATCTATTAGACCAATAGCTTTGAATCTCTACCAATCAAAACAAAAGGAGTTCTGGTGATGGCACTGGTGATGCTTTCTACCATGTACAGTACACAAGTCAATAGCTACAATGCTCAAAATTCAAGTTTTGCCAGTTATAAGGACATATACAACAAGAAAATTTATACAGCTACAAGTCTTAATCAGCAGAACTGGCACAACCGCTAGGACTTACTCCAGAGGTGGCACCCTAGAGACTGAATTCTAATCTTAATCAACATTTAACAATAGACTAATTAATAGAACTCCAAAACCTTTAAGCATGAAGTCAAATGATTTCTGATCTCTGAAATTTTCATTTCTCTGAAAAAGAAAAGAAAAAAAAAAAAAAAGAAATCTTTTTTTTTTTCATGCTGTTTTTACAAGAGGACTGGGGCCTTCTGAGTGTGACTAGGCTCCAGAGAATTAGCTTGAAGCCCTTTCCCTAAAGAGGGAAAAATGAGAACCAGATACCACATGCTAGTCCTCAAAATTTGTGACCTGCACTTTCCATCCAGGATACCCTGTCAGTCTCATTTATTTTTCATTGGTGAGAAGCTGCTCCTAAAACTTGGTCTTTTCCCCAAGCTGGTAACAGAAATCCTAACAATACATTTCTAGCATTAAGGACCATAAACTGGCCACAAAACCAATGTTATCATATCTGAATGGCTTCAAAATAGTACTACCATTAATTGAGCACCTGCTATATGCCAAGTTATCTACATATACTATCCCACGTCATAGCCACTTTGACTTTTACAACCCTCTGGAAGGCAATCTGGCAAATTACTAAAAGCTTTTTAAAAAGTTTATGCCTTTGATCTGACAATTCCATATTAAGAACTTATCCTACAAAAATAATCTGAAATGAGGGGTAAACCCTTAATTACATGGATGTTCATGGCAATGCTACTCATAACTGCTTCCAATATTCCCCCATTCAAATGCCCAGCAATAGGGAAACTTAAATAAATTACAGTATACCTATATGATGGCATATTATGCAGCCATTAAAAATTATAAATTTGGGGCTGGCCAGTTAGCTGAGTTGGTTAGAGCACAGCCTTACAATACCAAGGGCATACGTTCAGATCCCCTCACCTGCTAGCTGCCAAAAAAAAAAAGTGTGTGAACATATATATATGTGAAGAATTTGAAATGCTGTAGGAAAATGTTGATAATGTAACTTTTTAAAAAAATATGGAACACTTCACCAGTTTGAATGTCATCCTTGCACAGGGGCCATGCTAATCTCTGTATCATTCCAATTTCAGTTTATGTGCTGCAGAAGCGAGCATATGACAACGTTATGCTGACTGAAGAAAGACACAAAACTGTTTATATAGTTCAGGCCTCATCATGTTTAAAAGATACATTAACAATAAGAAGTAAAAAAACTTGGAACAAAATACATTAAAAAGCAAATTGAGCAGTTGGCTCACCTGGTTAGAGCGCAGTGCTGAAAACACCAAGGTCAAGGGTTCAGATCCCTGTACCAGCCTGCCATCTCCTCCCCAAATAAGTAAACTTCAGTTATCTCCCAGTTATGATAACAGTAAATGACTGTTTTGTTCTTTATCCTTTTCTATGTGTTACAAGTTTTCTATACTACATATGTAGTACTTACTAGAAAAAAATACATGAAAATTACTTGCTAAAATAAACATGCCAAAACCAGCTATGATAGAAAATTTGTTTCCAATGATTTAGTGTTTTACAAACCACAACGCATGCTGTGTACAGGTCTGCATTTCCAGGATCATACGGTTATGCTATTATCTGGCATTTAAACATGTTTTTCATTCTGCACACACTTCTACCACATGCCACCCGGTAAATTATAACAATGTTTCAAAAATAGGAAGGGCTAGCCAGTTAGCTCAAGTGGGAGAGCATGGTGCTGATAACACCAAGCTCAAGGGTTCAGATGCCCAGGCTGGCCAGCCGCCAAAAAAAAAGTTCATGGAAAAACAATTAAAAGAGAATACAAATCTTTCAATGAACTTTTTGAAGTACCCTCATATTACACATGCTTATATATATGCATATAAGATACTAGTGCATGTACTTTAAAAGTATCATATACATAACAGGAGCATGTTCTGAAACATTTTACTGATAGGAATACATGAGACAAAGTTTGGAAACCAGTGGTCTGGACACATAGTAGCAGGAAAGAATAATCAGGAACGTAAAAAAATATATTCCCTTGAAGAAACGGAGTCAGAAATGGAAGGTGAAGAAATGAGAATAGAAAATGCAAATAAGAAGAGTGAGGTAAACAGACCAGAACTATGAGAGAAAGGAAAGATGAGTAACATAGGAAAACCCTGGGAGGTAAATGGTGGTGGTGGTGGTGGTGGGGTCAAGTAAGTGAAAATGATTTATTTGTGGGTAAAAACTATAATGATGTTTACTTTTATGATCCGATGAAAGGAAATGACTCAAGTGTCTAGGGTGGATCCTGTTCCTGCCTAATGGACAAGCAAGTGAAAGAAAACGGACCACCAGATGTCTTAAAATAGATACTGTGTTGTCAGGTTACAATGGAGTCAGAACAAACTTGAAAAACAGGAGCTGTTTACAGCTATGTAATACAGGCTTAACACTAGTGGGAGCCCAAGATTCTATATGCTAATCTGGTTTAGGAAAAAAGTAAATGCAAAAACAATGACATAATGAACAGTAAAGAATTGGGAGTTAGCCTAATTGTTCAATTAATAAAGTATTCCTAACTTTCTGAACTGGCAGAGGACAGTGCCTGCCTTGACCATACAATTAATTAATTAATTGTCTTTCAATTTGACACCCTCTTTAATTTACTTAAATTTTTTTTGTTACAGCCACTTCAAAACGTCCAGGAACAGAAACAGTCTGTCTTTTCCCAAACCCTAATAACAATCAATTTACATTTTACTTTCTTATTTCCCCACCAGCTGGGGATTATAACCAGAGTAATATAACAACTAGAGGAAAAGAACAATTGAAAAAGCCACCTTCAAAAGTTGAATTGATTTTCCCTCTCTATTGAAATTCTCCTTTCCTAGTTCTCCACATGAAGGATTCACTGACAGGAACTAGTGCCTGAGTTTTTCTGGATTAAATTTTTATAGAGGGCTGACCCCGTGGCGCACTCGGGTGACAGCAAGCCGAGGGTTGCGATCCCCTTACCAGTCACAAAAAAAGACCAAAAAAAAAAATATATATATATATATACACACATATATATATATATATACACATATATATATATATGTTGCAAAAACAAAAACCAAAAAACCGTTTTGTCAATTTCTTTGTATATATATATATATATACACACATATATATATATACATATATATATATATGTTGCAAAAACAAAAACCAAAAAACCGTTTTGTCAATTTCTTTGTAGCTTTTGCCAGTGTATTTGAGTGACACTTTGTGCCCTGAAATAAATTATTTTTGAAAGCTTTCAATCAAGACTCTAAAGTTCACATTGTGTAAAGGAATCATACCCACTTCTGAACAAAATACTGACACATTTGTTTACCATAGACAGGGCAGAACAAACTAGTTTTGCAATAGGTTTTGGTACTATTTCATAACTGCAGTAGGAAACCAAGATTTACATTCTGGGGCCTTGGAAGACGTCTATAATTTTCTTAATGTTTAGACTATGGCGTCCAAGGCCCACTTTATCAAGTCAGGATCTAAGTGTTTTAGTATAAAGGCTAGAGTTACTGCCACCGGTTCTGGTTGATAAAGACTAGTAGCAGCCCCAAAGCATTTTGAGAATAAATTACTTTGCTTATTTGAAACCTAAGATGGGCTGGACTTCTTTCCAGCAAGCAGGGTAGGTAGGGAAATGAAACCACCAAATTGCACTAAGATACAAGGCTATTTTCAAGCAAATATCCTTTATAAAGCACTGGGCTTTAAACTGACTCAGACTCTGAACTGTGACCTGAAATGGGTTTTTGGCTTACTACCAGGGAAGAACAGAGAGAAACAGCTTGAGCTGTTCCAATAATTACTTTTTTTTTTTTAAAGATGACCGGTAAGGGGACCTTAACCCTTGACTTGGTGTTGTCAGCANACTGACTCAGACTCTGAACTGTGACCTGAAATGGGTTTTTGGCTTACTACCAGGGAAGAACCGAGAGAAACAGCTTGAGCTGTTCCAATAATTACTTTTTTTTTTTTTTTAAAGATGACCGGTAAGGGGACCTTAACCCTTGACTTGGTGTTGTCAGCACCACGCTCTCCCAAGTGAGCTAACCGGCCATCCCTATATAGGGATCCGAACCCTTGGCCTTGGTGTTATCAGCACCACACTCTCCCAAGTGAGCCACGGGCCAGCCGAATAATTACTTTTTTTTTTTTAAAAAAAAGAATTCAACCAGAAACGCAAGTAGTACGGAAAAGAACATTTCCAAAGACCTCAAAACGACGTAGTGCAAGTCTGAAAACTTTTCCCCTCACCTAAAGTACAAATCTGTACATTTAAAGGTAAATTGCATATATTTAAGGAACCCACTTCAAAAAGGCAGATGAACACCTACAGTGACCCAAACTGGAATTTCTGGTTGGGGAAGCAGGATGTAGGAAGCCTTACAAACCCAGGGCTCCTTCTTAGGTCCACGACGACACCCCAAACTCGGGATTAGTAGGGGAGAAGGGGCCAACGAGCCAGAGGGTGGGGAGGGCTGCCAACAGTCCAGCGCCCCTCACCCTGCAGAGGGTGCGTCTGTGGTCAGGTTCTCCACCCCCCCCTCCTCACACCCCACCCCACACTCGGGGTGTGTGTGGGGGCAGCTCCGACTCCAGCTCCCTCCCGGATGCGGAGGCGAGCTGGGAATGGCCGCCCCTGCCCCCCCACCCCCAATTTTTCAGTAGCAAAGGGAGGGCGTGAGGCCCCGAGGCGGGGAGGGCTAGCTCCGGGGGACACTCCGATCGCTGCCCGGCGTACCTGGCTCTCGGCTGCGGGGATGCCGGACTCGAGCTCGCACAGCGCGCGGAAGTTGTGCAGCTCGAAGTCGGCGTCGACCTGGAGAGAAAAGGTCACCTCGGAGAGGTCCCTCCGCACACAGTACACGGTGAGCAGCATGGCCCGGGCCCGACCCAGCTCGGCTCGGCCCGGCCTGGGCGCGAGGCGGAGGGGAGGCGGCGGGGCCTGGGTGGTGCTGCGGACGGACGGCGCGGGCAGCTCGCTCGCCCGCTCGCTCCTTCCCTCCCTCACACACGCTCAGTGACTCACTCTCTCCCGCCCTCACCAGCAGGCACGGCCGCCGCCACCCGCCCGCGAGTCCGTCTGCCTGCCGGCCTGCCTCCCACCGCTGCCGCCAAGCGCGCCAGCCCCCCCGCCCCGCCGTGAGGCCCCGAGGCGGGGAGGGCTAGCTCCGGGGGACACTCCGATCGCTGCCCGGCGTACCTGGCTCTCGGCTGCGGGGATGCCGGACTCGAGCTCGCACAGCGCGCGGAAGTTGTGCAGCTCGAAGTCGGCGTCGACCTGGAGAGAAAAGGTCACCTCGGAGAGGTCCCTCCGCACACAGTACACGGTGAGCAGCATGGCCCGGGCCCGACCCAGCTCGGCTCGGCCCGGCCTGGGCGCGAGGCGGAGGGGAGGCGGCGGGGCCTGGGTGGTGCTGCGGACGGACGGCGCGGGCAGCTCGCTCGCCCGCTCGCTCCTTCCCTCCCTCACACACGCTCAGTGACTCACTCTCTCCCGCCCTCACCAGCAGGCACGGCCGCCGCCACCCGCCCGCGAGTCCGTCTGCCTGCCGGCCTGCCTCCCACCGCTGCCGCCAAGCGCGCCAGCCGCCCCGCCCCGCCGTAACGCAGCTGCCGTAAAGCCCTCCTCGTGCTCGCCGCTTTCGCGACGCGGGGAAGGGGGAGGGCGGGGCCGGGAAGGGGAGGTGGGAAGCAAGGAGAGGATTGGAGGGGGAGGAGTGGGAAGGGGGCGTGAGAGGGAAGAGGGAGGAAGGGCGGGAAAAGAGGAGGGGAGGGAAGGAGTGCGGAGGAAGAAAGATGTATTAGATGGTTGAATTTGTAAGTGAAACTGCGGAGGACTCCACAATGTCATTTATTCATTCATCAGGCATTTATCAAGCGCCTACCACGTGCTAGGCGCTGGAGATACAGAAATGATTAAAGACACAAGTCCTTGCCCTTCACTCTCAATCTAGTACAGGAGACTGATAACTAAGCGCATAGTTCTAAACCATATTTTTCGAGGTAGAAATTGAGGCACAAAGGGATTAATTCATTTCCCGTCCTGGTGATTTAGGATTCAGACCAAAATCTTTCCCCTGCCTACTTTATAGAAGCCAGCTCGCGTTGGCCCCTGCCCAAGTCTCCAGCCCCCCCTCCTGAGCTCTTCTCACCCTCTGCCCTCCAGCCACAATGCTCACTCTCAGTTCCTCCAAGGCTCCATTCCCCTGCCTTGTAGATAGTTTTTTCTCTTCTTGGACTGTGTCTGTTTCCTAGCCCTGGCAATCCCCAGCATCCAGCACAGTGCCTTTATTGGATACAATTTAGAATCTACTCAATAAATATTTACTACTTTGATGGCCTAAGGCCATATAACTGATGAGTGGTAGAGGCCCAGAACTGAGGATGGGTAAGAAAACCAAACCTGAAAGATGATTATAAAATGGAGGTGAGATTAGCATCTCCTCATTTACCCCAACTCCCGATCCATGGATTATGCACCCCTTTTTTATTATAACAGAAGTGAAGGAGGAAACAGGATGGCTATGGGTGCAGGTAGTAGCTAGGTATGGAGGCAGAAAAGAGAGAACTACCAGCTGAAGACTTTTATAAAGAGAGAAAATAAAGGAGCAGAGGATTGAGGAGAGTGGTTGTATGGGCTACAAGTAACAGAAAGCTTGACCATCAGTGGCTTGAGTAAATTAGAGTTTATTTTCTCACAGGATATGAGGCCTGGAGGTAGACAGCTGCACTGGTTCAGTGACTCAGTGATATCAGGGCCAATGCTTCTGCAGTTTTTTTGGACTTTCCCTGAGGATCACAATAGGGCTGGCTGCCTCCACTACATGCATCATTTTCCTGCTCAAGGTAGGAGTTTGCCCAGAAGTCCTTCAGCAGATTTTTGCTTACGTCTCACTGGGTAGAACTGTGTCACATAGGTGGAAGAGAGGCTAGGAAAGTGTTTAGCTTTCCAGCTTCTTCAAAGGATATGATGGGAAAAACGGGTTAGGAATAAGTATTAGGTAAGACATATATAGTGCCTTCTACAGTAAAGAAGTTTTGAAATAACCATTGCAAGTTGAAGCAAGTTGAGCAGAGAAATGATGTAGGATTGCCAGGTGGTATGAAGGAATCAGTTGAGGTTGGAATCATGAATTGGTTAATTTTTCTATTATATTTTTCCTAGTGGTTCCCATGTCTGGCAGATTTTATTTTCCAAAGATGGCCATGGCAATACCCATCTTCTATGTTCTTTTTACAACATGATCATGACATATTCCCATTAAGAGGCTGGGTGTATGTCCCTCCATTTGAATCATGGCAGACTGACTGGCATAAGTGATATGACTTCTGAGGCTAGGCCACAAAGAGCAATACAGCCTGGTTCTCTTAGGACACTTGCTCTTGGAATCCGGCAGACATATTGTCAGGAAGCCCAAACTACCCCATGCAGTGAGATCACATGGAGAAAACATGTGTAGATGTTCCAGGCAACAGCTCAGCTGAGATCAAAGCTGATTACCAGGAAAAGCCACCAAGCATATGAGTGACGACACTTCCAGATGATCTCAGCCCCAGCTGTGGAGTCACCTCCCAGTCTTTGAGTCTTTCTAGTTGAGGCTCCAGACATCATGGAGTTGTCTCCACTGTATTCTTTTTGAACTTCTGACCCACAGAATCTGTGGGCTTATTAAATGTAAATACACATTTTAAAACAGCAGTGAGATATCACTTTGTACCCACCAGGATGCTGTAATTAAAAAGACGTGATAACAAGTGGTGGTAAGAATGTAGAGAAATTGGAACCCTAATATGCTGCTGGTGGGAATGTAAAATGGTGCAGACACTTTGGAAAAAACAGTTTGACAGTTCCTCAAAAAGTTAGATGTAGAGTTACCATATGATCCAGCAATTCTACTCCTAGGAATAAACCCAAGAGAAATGAAAATATACATCCACACAAAAACTTGTTCACAAATGTTCATAGCAGCATTATTTATAATAGTTAAAAAGTAGATACTTCTGTACCTAATTTGTTTTTAAAAAAAAGAACTAGAGGGCCGGCCCGGTGGCGCACTGCGCTAGTGCGCCGCTTGGGAAGCGCGGAGGCGCTCCCGCCGAGGGTTCGGATCCCACATACGGACCGGTTCCCGCTCACTGGCTGAGCGAGGCACGGGGACAACGCCGAGGGTTGCGATCCCGTTGCCGGTCCTGGTCCAGTACGGGGGCGACACTGAGGGTTGCGATCCGTTGCCGGTCACAGAAAAAGACAAAAAAAAAAAAAAGAACTAGAAACAACCCAAGTATCGATCCTCTAATGAATGAAATTTGGTATATATCCACACAATGAAATATTATTTGGCAATTAAAAAAGTATTACTATATGCTACAACGTAATGACATAGATAAACCTTGACAACATTATAAGTGAAAGAAACCGTCCACAAAAGACACATACTGTATGATTCCAATTATATGAAACATGCAGAAAAGGCATATCTATAGAGACAGAAAGTATATTAGTCATTGCCTAGGACTGGGGGAAATGGCTGATAGGCAGTATATGGGGAGAAACCCTGTGAATATACTAAAAACCACTGAATTATAAACTTTGAACAGGTGATTTGTATGGTATATGATTTATATCTCATAAAGCTGTTAAAATTTTTTTTGAGTTCACACTGGCTGCTGAGTGGAGAATGGGTTGTACTGGGCAAAAGCGAAAACGGGAAAATGTTTACAGGGCTACAGCAAGAGTCTAGGTCGGAGAAATGATGGACTAGAGAGGTAACAGTTGAGACAGAGAGAAGCAGGTAGATTAGGGAGGTATTTTGAAAAGTCAACAGGACTTGCTAAGGAATTGGAGTTGGAGGATGAGGGAGAAGGAGGAATGACTCCTGAGTCAAGAGAAAGGAAACCCAAGAAACAATACACCTTCATCACATCCCCGTAATCAAGATGTACTCTGTGTTGCACCAGGATTCAGACCCAAGGTCCTAGTCCTTGGAATGGGGAAGGTGAATGATGGAGTTTGGATGTGTTGTTCTCTCCAAAACTCATGTGGAAATCTGATCCCCAATGCAGCAGTGTTGGAAACTGATTGACTTTTATACCTGCAGATGTGGTGGTTGCAGGTCAGCATCATCTTTCCTATGGAAGAGCTCTCTTTAGCGCCTGATGACAGTGGTCTGCTGTGATGGATCCTCTCAGCCTTCGTTTGTCTGGGAGAGGATTTTCTCTCTCCATGTTTGAAGGACACTTTTCTTGGGTACAGTACTCTTGTTTGAAAGACTTTGCTGTTGTTGTTTAATTTTTTCTTTGACTGGAACATCTCTTTCCTTCCTGGACTGTGAGTTTTCTGTTGAAGAATTTACTGAAATCCGTATTAGGACTTTCTTGTAAGTGTGTGTGTGTGTGTGTGTGTGTGTGTGTGTGTGTGTGTGTGTGTGTGTGTGTCTTGCAGCTTTCAGAATTCTTTCTTGGTGTTCTGTGTGGTTTTGACTCTGACTAGTGTAAGTGAGGCTGATCTGAGCATTCATGTACAAACTTTTTTTTTTTTTCCTTTTTGTCTCTTTTACTGACCGGTAACGGGATCGCAACCCTCGGTGTTGCGCCCGCACCGTGCTCAGCCAGTGAGCGGGAACCGGTCTCCACATGGGATCCGAACCCTCGGCGGGAGCACCACCGTCCTCCCAAGCGGCGCACTCTCCAGTGCACCACCGGGCCGGCCCTATTTTTACTTTTTCTAAAGGAAAGAATTTATGGAAGTTATTAAGTTTTAGAAATACAAATTTTGTACTTCTTATAATAATACAAGTGCTTCTCTTTTGTGTGGACATGTTTTCAGTTTTCATTGGTATGTACCTGGCAGTAGGATCGCTGGCCCACGTAGTAAGTTTACATTTCGCATTTTGAAAAACTAACAAACTGGTTTCCTGACAGTCTGTACCATTTTGCAATCCCTCCCCCGATATATGAGGGTTGTGATATCTCCATAGCCTTGTCAATACTTTGCCTTGACAGTCTGTTTGATTACACCCCGTCTAATGTGTGCAACATATTATCTCACTGCGGTATTGATAGACATTTTCTTATGGTGACGA